AAGAGAGAGGTCTAGGCAACTACCTTGTGCTTGTTTGGGTAACGGGGTGGGCGGTGCTGCCGTTCTGGGTGATAAGGAGTATAAAACTGAAAGAGTGACTTCAGTTTTGTTCATTCTGCACTGGAGGTGTCTGGGGAGTGTTCAGAGATTGATACTAGAAAGTAGTTAGAAGTGTAATCCTGGAGTTCACAGAAGTATCTGAACTATAGGACTAAGAAATTTGGTAGTTGTAGTTGAATCCGTGGGTGTAGGTGAGATTGCTTAGGCAGGTGTAATTTACTGAGTGTGGCAGAGAGGACTGTTGGAACCTCAGCATTTCAATGGAGGGCAGGGGAAGGAGCCATTGAGGACAAGGAAAACAAGTACTGATCCCAACGATGGTGCATCTCCTTGCCTCTTAGATTTTTTTCAGAGAAATTGTAAGACCTTTGTAGTTACTGAACTCTAATCAGGAGGTAAACTTTACATATTTCAGCTTTTTTTTTTTAAAGTAGATTCTTAAATGCTCCTTTCCTCTTTTATTTGATCAATTTATAATGCTCAATGGTAACCTCATGGGTAGTCAATATACCACTCTTAATACGAGCAGTTTCTTCTCTCTTACACAGTCAATTTGATCATAATGCTTATTAGTACAGATACAGGATATAGTACCAAAAAACCACAGTGTATAAATTTGCATTAATCCTTGTTTTCAGTCATTTATATATTTCCCAGTCAGTTTATTTATATAGTAGTAGACGTGTTGTTTCTAGGGCATATGCAGATATATGTGTTACTGCCTCTTGTATTTTGCTATTCAAAATTTTATATTCTATTAATATATCATTCTTTTTGTTATTTCTATTTTTAACATTTGACATGTTAGCCAATGTGTTCTTTCTATGAAAAAAAATCTTTTAGAGAATTAAGAGGATTTTGAGAACCCAGATAATTTTTCTTGCCTGTGGAAATTAGGTATTTCATAAAAACAAAAGCCGGTAGGAATAGAGAAACATAACTTTTGAAGAGTATTGTCTTAAACCTTTCACGTAATCTTCGGATGCCAATCCAGAAATGTGTGTGTGTATGTGTCCTATCAAGAACACAGTGCGGTGGAAATACCAGAGTTTATGAGCACTTCTAATCAATATAAAAGTACAGTTTTCAATTAACATCATTGTTAAAAGGATCCAAAAAACTATTTGCATGTATTTTATTCCTCCCTCCAGCTCTCTTCCCTCCCTCTCTCTCTCTCATCTCTCCCTCTCTCTCTCTCTCTCTCTCTCTTTTCTTTTTCAACCTCAGTTTGAATAGCACCTGTAATTAAGGAAGAAAACCGAGCCCTGGGAGCTAGGTAGGACTTGCAGCCATTGATCTGTGTAAGCCCAGCTTATACTGTCAGGGGAGGAACAGTCAACTGCTGAGCTGCTTTGTCACTGACATAAGCTGAGAGAGGATTTTTTTGTCTATACTGTTTATACACTAGTCTATAGACCTGCTGGCTGGTTGAATTTTAAAGAGTGCGGAGGTTTAAAGACTTGTCCCCTGAGGGATGCTTCTGCCAGTTGGAGAGCGAGCCGTAGCTGTTTTGCAGAAGTGTGTGCATGTGTGTTGCTTCTGGAAGGAAGGAGGGGGAGGGTGTGAATGATTGAGCAACTAGGAAACACTCTTCTTTATTTGAGTCTTAAAATCGATGTGAAATATATTATTAATTTGGGTATATTTGGAAGCAGACAATGGATTTTGAATATCTGTCTTTATTGTTACAGAAATGATATGAATAGCTTTGCAGGGGGAGTATCTGAATAGCGTTCATGTGTGTTGTAAATATGGGAAATGGCTTCACTTTTTGCAGCACAAGATAAGGATTAGCAATGGTCAGATGAATTGTTCTCTTTTGTAATGTCCTGTTTTCAGTTTAAGTAATTTGAATTATTTCAAGCTTAGCAGCTCTTTTAGTTCCATTTATTGATAATAAAACATTGTCAGTAGTAAAACAGTTGGCTTTTTCTAAATACGGGGTTTGCGCTTGTACTTACACATGTATGTTCATAAGCAAACCTGGGTACCCTGCCCTAAAGATAGAAGATAGCTTTTTTACATATGCTTTTCTTTCAGCTTCAGGGACTTAAGGCTCTTGAAGCTTTCTTAGGTTTTGGCATTGGAATTTTACAATGGTTTATTTTTACTTGATACTTTATACCAGTTTACATTTTAAAAGAATGTGAGAAATTCTGCTTAAAACACTCAATCCTATGACTGTGTATAGGGCTTAATATTCATATACTGATGATTTCTCTGAATGTAAGTTTTATTGGTAGAGAAGTAGTGATAGGGCATTTTTTGCTGGGGAGTGGCTACTGCATGAAGATATTTGCTCTTTACTCTTTTAATATGAAGCCTCTTCATCAATCTCTGCTTTCTCTTGTAAAATCGCCTGGCTTTAAACTTGTGTGATGGTGTCTTCAATTCTGACTCTATGACAGGAGTTAATTTTAAGTTGTTTTTCATATTTAACAAAATAGATCTTTTTCTGTTTTTTTGCCAAATATCTGACAATTATCTGCATTTTGTTATACTTGTTAATGTATATGATTTCTAAAAGCTTTTGAAATTATTTTATAATAACTATAAAATCACTGCAGATTTCAAGTCAGTAAGATTATTTTCTAAGCTTAATTAAAACACTGATTTTCATATTAGGAAATTCTTAAATAAAAGTGCACAGAGTAGAAGCTATGTAGCTTTACATTAAAGGCTTATTTTTATATACACATTTCTTTAAGAGTGTTATTTGGGATTAAACTTAGTGTTACTGATATTGAATTTACCAAGAGTTCAACATATAAATGTGTTTCTTTAGCTATAGAAAATCCTGTTTTTTGAACCATTTTACTCTGGGGCACGTAGAGTTGTTATACCTCTCAGTAATTCATTGCTGCCAACCTCATTCCCTTTTCTCTGCCTGCATTTTAATTGAAACAACATTTATATTTCTGAGCCAGGATCTGTCAGAAGTCCCTGTGGCTACTCTGTGGTACAAGCAGCAGCAGACGCAGCTTACCCATATGGTGCGGTGCTTCTTGTAAAATCCATATGGCCTTGTTGAAGGGAGTCCCAGCGGGGATGTGAGGGGTGTTAATACCCTTCAGGCCAGGCCTTTCCCTCCTGGGGCTTCCGTGGCATTGTCAGTGCAATCTGCCAAAGCACACACTTAATTCCTTTTTAATAATCAATTATTTTAGTCTAGGAACCTCTGTTATTTTTCTTAAGAAAAAGACAAACTTTTTTTCCTAAAAAATGTCTCCAAAAAAGTTTTAACTGCATCTTTAAAAATATTCTAAAGCTTTTTTTTTTTTTTTTTTGCATTTGCAGGAAGTACTACAGACTGTGCCAAAGTTCTGTTTCCCCTTTGACGTTGAAAGGTACAGTATAAGTCATCATTTAAAATAACCTTAGCCTAATCTCAGTGAGCACATTAAAATTATCACATGTGTTTTCTTTATAAAATGAAATGTATTTTTTCCCCATTGCCTCTAACAAAAAAGACTAGAGGTTCAAAATTAAATAATATTTGAAATGGAGAAGTCTTCTAAATCATTATAGCTTCTGTTTATTCCACTGTGGCCAGTTAGGATTAGTCTTAAGGTTCCATTTCTTCCTTTTGTTCTTCAGGTACATGTTGTAAGCACTAGGAGAAAAAAACATTAATATGTCCTTTATCCGAGCCTTAGAATTGTGTCTTTTAAAATTAGATGTATATATCCTGGTTTCTATCTCACTTCACCCTGATTGAAAAGACCATCTGTGTGATATTGTAAAACTCATGGCTGGTTGTCTCCCAAGAATAGCTTTATAGAAATCGTGCAATATTATGGAAGGCTGCAGAGAAACCCTCTTACCTAGCAGTTTTGAAAATCTCATTATGTTTGTATTTTACTGAACAAATGCTGAATGAATAGAGTATTACCTGTGTATAACTGGAATGTCACAGAATATATAGCCCTTTGAGCATAATAACAGATCATTTATTGTTTTTCATGTGATTTTCATACCCTATTATCAGTTTTCTTTAAGGGTATGCTGTGAGGTGGTATTAAAAGAAAATTTATTTTAGGAAAATATTTTGCTAAAAGTAAAGATTAGTAAAAATCTAAAATTTTACAGTGTTAAAGATAAAAAAGCCTTTCGAACGATGGGCTAATTGATAGTAATAAGTACTGCTGGTGAATGATGCCCCTTGTTTTACCTCTTTTCTGGGGAATCACTTGTGCCTGCTAAAGTTGCAATTTCCAAATTAATAGCAAAGATGAAATAAAGGAAGAAAAGCTATGGAAGTAAATTGTGAACATTGGGCACTAGAGGGCACAGGAGACACTAGAGGTTGTTTGTGAAGTTTGTAAAAGTTAAAAAAACAAAAACAAACCTGTCCCCATAAAACTGTGTTTGTTAACTGTTCAGCATTTGAACTGCAGTATTTCCTGACAATTGAAAATGATTTGTAGTATTGGTGCAGTAGGGGTAAGTAGCTTGTTTCCTCGTACATAATTCCTGTGGCTGTTTCAAAGCCAAAGTTTAGGTGTCCTGGAAACTTTATTTTGGGACAAGGAAGCAGATGTTCAGTTATTGTTGTCTAATGGCAAAGTTATGGACAGTAACAGGAAATATATTTGTATATTTTAAATAACAGTAAAGGTTCAGCATAATGATTTGTACCGCACCTTACATGGCAGTGTGACACGTATGATGATACTTAGTTCACGTTAGCTCAGATTCTTTGTAGTAAGCTTTTTTTTATAGAAATTGTATTCTTCTTTTGTACTTGGAAATTTATTACCAGGATACAGGTAGCTCTAGAAGAGAATGCTAAAAAAAAATGCCAATAGTAATTTGTATGGTACTTTATTGGGTGAGAATGTCAACAGAAGAAGCAATTAAACAGAGTTGGTGGTGGCTGCCAGTAGGCTGTGCAGCAACATGCTTTGCTGTGTGAGAAGCCTTAGAGTCACCTGGAGGAGAGGCTGGGGAGGGGCGGACCGTCATATGACCAGCTTCTCACCTCCCCGGTTCCATTAGTAGTACGTTCGGAATTTATGAAATATTTGATAAGTACTTTCAAGCATGTGAAAACTTACGGTAAGATACCTTATGATTCCCTAGTAGGGGATTAGAATATGCTGAATTGCTCAGTCCATAAGACGTTACAACCTATTTTGGTACTTGCTTCATGATTTAGTTTACACATTTCACACTCGTTTTAGTTTTTAAAATGTCATTCTATCTCTGAGAACCAACTGATTGGAAAGGTGAAAACAATGCCACACATACATCTATTCTTGCATTTGCTTTTCTTTAAGAAAATTCTCACACAAGGCTTAAAGTGTTATAATACTACTGTATTTTAGAGTGTCTCAGAATCAAGTCGGACAGCACTTTGCCTTTGTACTGACAGACATTGAAAGTAAACAGAGATTTGGATTTTGCCGACTCACATCAGGAGGGAAAATCTGCTTATGCATCCTTAGGTAAGTATTTGTAGTAAAAAATAAAATTGGAGGCACGATAGATTAACGGTGTCTTTCTTTTGTACTTTGCTATGCTTGGGATGCTTAAAAATATGCTTATATATTTTTTAAGTTGTTTTCTTTAAATCCATCTAAGTTGAAAAATAATTTTATTTACTCTCTATATGGCATCAATTTGGTTTAAAGATTTACCAGTAACAGTAGAATTTTGCTTCAAAGAATTGGCTCCTTTTTTAAAAAAATTATTCTATTGAAGTATAGTAGATTTACAATATTGTGTTTGAATTGGCCCTTTTAAAGATTAGTTTTTGTGGGTTTATTTTTGAAAAATTAAGATACGAGGTCAGATAATATATGCTTCACATATTAAGTAGGATGCAAAAAATTCAGTTAAGTTAATATGTGTTCTATTGCTGACCCAGAACTTGGATTTTTGAAAGTGAATTTTTGGTTGAAGGTAAAGGTTGCAAACTGGTGATTCTGGGCAGAAGTGTTTAGAGGTGTTTTATTTGGCCCCATGGTGTTTAAAAAATTTTAGAAGGTGTTTCTAACCTTATAAATTTTAGTGAAATTTTGCATAAAGTTCACGTTTCTCGTTCCTTTTGCTAGCGCTGGTCTTGCTGTCCCAGCAACACTGAGCTGGTGCTGAGCAGCAGGTGTCTCCTTGTGTCAGGAGTCTGCTTGTTTCACAAGCCCTGCCTGTCCGCCTCCATCACTTACCTGGTTGGCCTGGACTCACTCGGTAGACAGTTGAGAGCGCGTCTCTGTCTGTGGACCTTGGGTTTGAGTTGCTAGTGCTGAGGAGGACGGTCCGGAAGGTTAGCTTCCCTTTAATATGTCCTGATGACTCAGAAATGTAGGTGTGTTCTATACAAATAGGACTTTATACTGTGATTACAATACGGATATTGGTCAAGCTAGATTCTATAGAAATGTTTATAGTAAACATTTTTATATTTTACTATATGTTTATAGTAAAAGAAATGACATTAAATTTAATGTTCATTTGCTTTTTAGCTACATTCCTCTCAATCTTTGAGGGTTAAGTTATAAATTCTACTCAGAATATCTTTTCATTAAAAGGTCAAATTTACAGAAAAGTTTCGAGCATGAGCTCTTGTCTACACATCCCCTAGATTCACAGTTGTTAGCCTGCTTCTGTCTCTCCCCACCTCCCCCCACTCTCTCAGTGTACACACGCACACGCATACGAACGCATGCGCGCATGCACACACACGCACACACAAATTCTGTATGTCTCTCTGTTGTAGTATTGTTTTTGCTGACCCATTTGAGAGTAAGACACCATTCTTATGTAATATTTGAATCTATTTTACATAAATTAATTATGATATCCATAATTAAAGAGTCTAAATCTTTCTCTTTGTTTTGAACTCTTAGCATACTTTGAATACAATGAATAATTAGCAAGTTTTTAAACTTTCACAATAGTCCCTATGAATGGGCTTGTAGAATAAACATTCTTAGCCATTTCTGTTTCAATTTAGGAAAGCCATTGTTAACCTCGAAATATTTACACAAAATATGGACTATAGCTATTTGTTAAATGATTGGAGGATTAGTATCGTGTCTGTATCTCCAAACCAGTTGTCATTAATTTGTAGGAAGCAGATTCTAGAGCAGTTACCATATCAGGTTACTTTTACGTAGTTCTCAAACCCGTCTGGGTGGAAGGAGACTTGAATGTTGTCGTTCTACATTAAGAACAGTCTCACCTGCAGAAAATATGGTTCACTTATACCAGTGTAATAAAAACCAAAAAAATCGTCTATGCCAATAAAGAAAACCTTTCACAGTAAGCATTATTGGTTATTTAGTCTTTTTAAAAAGAGTAAGGGTTCCTTTCATTTTTGTTATTTGGCGGTGCTTTCCAGTAGACAAGAAATGGTAGGTGTCAGAGCTTTATGAAAACCCATGGACGAGAGTGAGAATCTTAAATTGAGAAAATTCTATCCTACAGCTTGTTTTTTCCTAGAAAACCAAAAGACTGCCATCTCATAGGTGTTAACGGCATGTCTCAGTCACTGTCCTGGAAAGGAGTATGCAACGGTGTTCTTTGAGAACAGCCAGTTTAGAGACTAGCCAGTGAATTAGAGAACAGAGAATTAAAATATAATCAAATTCAGCAATTTATTTAGAAAGTTGTGATGGGTAGGTAGATACCTATTTTAAGGTGTAATCGGTGTATGTCTGTGAAAACAGTTTTGGCAAGTCTCGGTGAGTGCTGTAGTGAGAGGAATAATGGTGTTCTGGTTTGTCCACGGACTACACTGAGTCTTCACCACTTTCGATTGGACTTCATACGTGTTGAAAGGCAGGATGGGACTCTAAACGTGCTAGCAGAGATTGTTGTTGATTTTTAAAAACTACTGTAACCGTGAGAGCCTTTGAATCCTGACAGTGAATCTCGAAGCCAAAAACGTTGGCATCCTTTGACTACGTAATGACGAAAACTTCTGTTTGGTGACAAATATAGTAAGGAAATTGAATATTCCAATAATAAGCTGGTAGGACTATATTTACAACCACTGTGACAGAGAGTTAATCACCATAGAGTATAATAAGAGAGAGAAACAACCCAATAGAAAAATACATAAAGCATCTGAACAGCATATTCACAGAGGAAATGTGAATAGCATATACATACATATATATGTGTGTGTGTATATATATATATATATATACACACATACACCTGTGAATGATGCTCAGCCTTACTAAAGGTAAAAGAAACGAGCACATTACAATGGGCAGAAATGAAAAACTAAAAAAAAAAAAGCATGAGGGGAAGTAGATATTTCATGTGCTGCTTGTAGGACTGTAAAATGACATGACTTTTTGAAGGGGAATTTAAAAATATCTATCAGATTTTTAAAGTCTCCTTCTCCTTGACTCAGTTAATTCCAGTTCTTGAAATTTAAATCTCAGGAATATTCCCAGTGGTGAGTAGTAAAGTGTGAGCAAAGTTATTTATTATGACATGGTTTATAAGAGCAAAACCACTGGACGTAGATGTCTCTCAGGAGGAACTGATTAGGTGCTTTAGGGCCCATTCCCCAGGCTCCACTCTGTGCCCCCTCCCTGCCGGAATGCTATCTGTGCTGTTCACTGATGCGTTGTATTCCCAGTGCCTACAAGAGTAAACTCTTAATAGATATTTGTTGAATAAATACATTAATGAATTAATGACTAGTACAATGGAGTATTATTTATCTGTTAGGAAAAATTATACACACAGATACTGACTTGGAGAAATGTTTATGATATATTGTGAAATGATGAAAAGTTTCAAGGTAATATTTATAGTGTGTTCTTATGTTTGTAAAGAACAAGTTATATGTATATATAAATGTATATTTTAAGGAGTAGTCAATAACAGATTTATATATTAATATATGATTGTATATACTTATAAAAAGATAGATATCTAATTCTTTGACTTTGTACACTTCAGCATTCATCTACTTTTTGCAGTGAGCAAAAGTAATTTTAAGCAGTTTTTCCTGCAGTAAAATTCTGAGATGTCAGGACTATATAAAGAGCATATTAAAAATGTGTGGGAATTTACCCATATCATCTTTTGTCAGGTAAGACATCCAGGACAGGAAATGGTCCTACAAGTGTGTTTTCATGGAGATACTCCAAAGGCAGCAGCTGGTCATTGTTGACTAGCAGAATTAAGAATGGGAAGGGAACAGGCATTTCATTCTACACGCTTGAAATTTGGAATCACAGTGCAAAAGAATGATCTTTGGAAGAGAAAAAAACATTACTTGTGAGGTGACCTTCCCATCACCATCTTAGAGCCAGATATTAGTGTTTTTCTGTAATTTCAACACAGAATGTTCAACGTGGTGGAAATGCTTTGCGAGAGGGCAGGAGAAATGTGATTACACCTACAATTTATTTCCTACTATTTTTTTCTCTTCCAGCAACACTCAATTTCATCATATCCTTAAGGTGTAGTAGGGGGAAGTTTGTTTAGCTTCATATAAAACCAAGACTTAGAATTTAAGTAGTCATTTTTGAAGGGTTGTGGGAAGGGAAGGTAGACGTAGCAAACGAATTATTCGCGGGATTGGTTGGGGCAATCAGGTCTCTTCATTTAAAGGCCAATTTCTTGAATTCCAGACTCTGCTGCTTCCAGGGGTTCTGTGAGAGAAGAGCACCTCTGCTGGTGTTCTGAGTGTTCACTGGTGGCTGCCAGGGCTTTAGAGTAATGTTTGCATTCAGTGTTTTGGGAATGTCCTGGTCCTCTTATAATTCAGCTTTAATTCCAAGTCCTGAATTCTAAGGCTTCTTAGAATTAAGCATTAATAGGGCTAAAATTTATTGAGAAAAATGACAAAAATACTTGAATAAGCAAGACACAGAAATATGTCTTTAACCATGCTTTTCTGTTAACAAAAGTAATATATTTTACTATAGAAAAATTGGAAGAAAATAAAGAAAAAGAAAGTAAAGGCACTTATATTTGTAAAACATAACCATTGCTTAAATTTTGGTATTCATTCTAGACTTATTTCCATGTCTTGTTAAGACACATTTATAAATCTTTCTATTGGATAGCAAACTAAATATTTAACTGTAGTGTTTATTCACAGTTGGTAAAGTGAATGAATATATATAGAAGCAGTTAATAAATTGAAAAAGCTTCTATGGCTTTCATGTTATCCACTGTAAGTGCTGAGAATTTTTGTACATGCTTAATCTGACAATTGGTCATTTCACTTTTTTTTCTTAAAAGTTGAGATTTAGCATAAAGATGATTTCCTTTCTGATTATGGTTTTTAAAATTAGTTACTTATTTCTTTACCTGGAGTATATTGCGACTTTCAAATATGAAAAAATTTTAGCATCTTTTCCTTGAAGCTGTCTTTTGTGAAAAATTAGTGCATTTATATTGAAACACACTACATTTTTAGTTATTCTGTTGCGAGATAATACTGGATTGATTATTCAGAGGTCATTTTTAGTAT